TTTCTTTCTGTTTGCTTCTTTGTAAACCCTCAACGAGGTGTTCCACAAGCAAGGGCGACTTCTGACTTCCTCTATCAAACCCTCGGCAGTGTATTCCTCGAGAAATGCTTCTTCTCCTGGTTCTCCATCATTATCAACATCTACTGCTTCTTCACCTGACACAGTATCTTCTATCACACTGACACCAACTGCAGTATTATAAATACAAACATATAAAATTAAAATCAACAAACCTCTGAGTTGACTGTCTGAGTCGTGACGAGTTTTACTACATGCCAAAAAGTCAAAAACATTAAATAATTACACCAAATCAGTTCATATAGAGCTAAGCATTTATTATTAGTCGAATGTCAAACTTCAAAAGGGTCTTAATATACGATATAAATTTTCACGACATACCTTCACCTGACGAACTACTTGCAGAAACTTGTTGACTTGGTTCTGGTTGATGTATTATGCTTCGGTTGACTTCGGAAAGATTTTCAAGAGCACTGAAGTCTATAGTATAGATATTTCTTTGATCTGTCCCTTTTTTGGCTTAATAGCATGGTTTTACGTCCTTCTATACCGCATACAATTCTTTTAGCATTGTCAGACATTTTTCTTTTCAAACCACAGCAATGCAGGAAGGTGTCTTCAAGACGCAATCTGATTGGTTGAAATAATTTTCCGCCGCTCGCAAAGCGGGAAAGTAGAACAAAGTTCAACTTTTTTTTGTGCGCTTGAAGGAACTTGGAGGAAACTTTTCCGCCTGCTGACGCATACAAAATTACCATATGCGCATGCGCAGATCAAAATCCGCCTAAAAAATTCCGCCCGCGCGCAAAATTCCACTGACTGGAAACCAGCCTTGACATGCTTAAGGTCGCTAATACCGGGAGCTCTTCCACTAAATTGACAGCTTCAAGCAGATTTCAAGCAATCGTCTACATAAAAGTCACGATTCACCGTGTCAATGCATTGCTTACTGAAGTCCTGCTTATTATCTTCGGCGGTTTTCTTTAATGAATACGAACAACAACTTGGCGGAGATGTTGCGCCGAACAAATGAACGGTCATTTGGTGTTCAACTGGTTCTTTCGACAGGTCTCCTTCTGGCCACCACAGAAATCTCAGCGCTTCACGGTCTTGTTCATTGACGTTGACTTGATGAAACATCTCTATGTCAGCCATCACGGCTACTCTTTCTTGACGGAATCGCAGCAACACGCAACTAACGAATTTGTAAAGTCGGGTCCTTGAAGTAGGTGATCGTTGAGGGATGTATTGTGGTATTTTGCAGCACAGTCGAAAACGATTCTCACCTTATCTGGCTTTTGTGGATGGGTCACAGGGTGATGGGGTAAGTACCAGATCGGTTTCTTAGGTGATAAACCATCCGGATTTTATATCTCCTTCATTGTTGCCTTATATTTAGCATGAAGGGTGGGATCTCTCTCCAATATTTTCTTCAAATAGCCCAGTCTCTTTTCTGCCATAGATGTATTAATCGGTAAGGTTGGTTCGCTATACTTTCACGGAAGCCCAATCTCGTAGTGCCCATCTTTAAGTTTAACGGAACTGTCCATCATTGCCTTCGCACAACGGTCCACGATCGAAAGACATTCCTTCAGGTCGGCTGCCGATTCACTAAACTCAGAGTTGTATAGACTTTCTAATTGCTCGTGAATAGAACTCATACCCTTCACGTCTTCTTTGCAACCGAGCGCTTGATCAACATGGATACAGTTTAATTGGGCTTCCTGGTAACTGTTTCCCTTCAGAGGTCACATCACCATCCAACCTAAAATTGTTCTTATTGAATGAGGTTGGTTCTTCTTCCCCGCACGTACTTCAAGAGGACAAAGAACTTCCGGGACGTCACTTCCAATCAGAATGGTTACCTTCTTATCCACTAAACCACTAATGTCAACGTCCTTAAGATAAGACCAATCTTGCACGTCACTAGTCGTTGGAATGCTCTCTGGGGCTACTGGTAAACTATCGGTTGTCCACACTTTATTTAATCTAACACCCTTTCCAGTGGCTACTCCGACAACATCGAGAGACAATTGTTGGCCATTTCGTTTCTGGTTTCCTGAAACAGTTGATAAGGTAAGCTCAACAGGCGTACAATCAGCACCAAGATCGGTGTTTGACCCACTGTCCAAAAACGCATAAGTTTCAATAACGTGATTACCATAAGGTGCACTAACCCTGACAGGAACAACTTGAAGGCCAATACGATAGCTGCGAGACGAGGAATTTGTTGCACCAACACCAGATACATTATATCCACCAGATTGCATATCTTGCGTCCCTTGCGAAGACCGGTTGTTCTCAGGAGCTGAACCGGATTCTGCACCAGGATCTGCTTGGGGAGGTTTGACTTCCTTTTCGGACGAATGCAGTAAAGGGTTGTGTATTCTTTGGCAACCTTCACCACCGCATATGCGAGCCCCTCTGCAATTCTTTACAAAGTGTCCTGGGCTGAGACAAGCATGACAAACTCTACATTCTGTCCGTATGTCGCCAAGCTTGTGTTGTTTTCTTTAAGGAAAGATGGGTTTCTCCTTCCTTTATCTCCACCGTTTTTTCTCATATCCACTTTCGAACCGATGATCTGCCCAAAATAGGTATTTGCTATTGCAGCACGAGATTGAACAAATTCTGTTAAGTGGATCAAATCTGGTGTAACATGGTTATCATATAACTGGCTTGCTTTCTCTGCCCATTTCGACCTCAAATGAACAGGTAGCCAACTAACCACGTTCCCAAGAGTGTCCATGGAGTTGATGTTTGCCCCATTACCCAAATGAGAAGAACCAAGAAAACATGTTTCCATGTCCCTTGTTAGCTGCGACAACTTCTCATTTTCACTGACCCTGATAGGTGGACCAGCAATCACTTTATTCAAGAAGGATTGGGTTACTACATGATTTCGACAAAAGTTTTTTCTCAGTATTTCTTTCACACGTTTGTATCCCTCTTCTGGCGGCATGATGATGAAATGTTCTATTGCTTGCCTCGCCTTTCCTTTGCAGTATTTAATCAGGTAGTTGAGTCGATCTGCATCATTGCTTCTTTACTCTCTACATGTACTTCGAAATTTTTTATGAATAGTGGAAAGTTTCGTGGTTCACCATAAAAATTCATATACTCCCGCTGTGGCATTCGCAGGCCTCTGACTACTTCGTCCATCGTATTTTGTTGTCTTTCTAATAAATATTGTAATTGACCTGGACTTTCATGCAGTGGATTTTGTGGGATGGTATCACTAGTAGTTGTATTTTGAGGTTGTTGACTATGATAATCGATAACATTGTCATTGTCACTTCTGCTGTCCTTATCTCTTTGTAGGGGCCTGGTACTAGCACCATACATTTCTTCTAACTGACGTAGTTCGGCTTGTTGTCGCTCTATTTCCCTTCGCTTCACTAGTATTTCATGCTCTGCTTTAGCTCGATTCATTTCCATTTCTAATTTAAGTTTTGCATCATGCATTTGTTTATCTAATTCCTTTCTACGCGCGTTTTCTATTTCTTCCAGTTCGTGCCCTCTTTCCGCCCACATTGAATCAAATGAACTCGATGCGCCAGCCCCATTTTTGCTGCGCGTGGGTTTCACGCGTGTTTGTTCGACTGTGTTCCCTTCACGAATATTATCACGCACGGAAATACGTTGCGTGGCGCCCACGCGTGTCGATAATCTCTCCGTGTTTTTATCGCGAATTTTATTAACGTTACTCTCAAACACAGTTGCTTCGAAAAAGAAGCAACTTGACTCAGACCCACCTCAAGCTGTCGTTGTTCTTGATCTACTTCCCTTCTCTTGAAGCAAAACTCGTCGTAGCCTCGCTAGAAGGGACAGACAATGGGCTTTGCAATTGAACAACATCCGTCAAATTTTCGGACTGATCGACATTGTTATCCCTTACAAATACAGGTGAATTTTGAGATTCTAAAACGTTTGCATTGTCTGACTGTTCTTCCTCAGACTCTACCTGATTGGCTTGCGAAGTAGGACTTAACTCATGGTCTGCCGGCGACGTCTGTGACTTCGAAACCGCTCGTTCGAAACACTAGATTTCCTGGCTCGAGACTTTCTCTTCTTTGTCATGGCGTTGATCAGTTGAAATAATCGTCAAATACGAGAACTATATAAGCTATAAACGATTCCCAGCTTATGTGACCAACGAGAGACACATCACATAAACGCAAAAATTAAATAACAAACAATCGACCAAATATATTTATTTATACATCAATGAACGAATGATATAAAGTCGACAAACGATGATGGTTCTAAAATAAACAATAAAGGTTCGTCACAATCTATACCTATCCCAAGCAAAAAGGTCATAAATCAAATGTTTTACCTCGTATTTAGGCCACTTCCACCACAGGCGGCCCAATCTCGCAAGGGTCAGTATAGACTTATAGTATAAATGTATATTATATTAATGTATATTATAGTAAAAAGATGTCGTAAAATATAAATTTTAAAATGAAATTGACTTGCCTATTTGATAGTGTGTGTTCTCCTTTTATTCCTCCTTTGTTGGACTAATATTCTCCGAGACTTTGTACTCGATGTTACTAGTATACATGAAACATGATAAAGGCTAACAAATTCCGATCGTCGATCCGACGGCACGGCACTTCGAATCGAAAATTCTCATACTCAAATCGCTTTATTCTCCAAAAAAATTCGCCAGCATGCACAACAGATGCCGTTCTTCGAAAATACGGAGATACTTCGGAGAGATGTACAAGTTTTGGACCATATTTTTACAATGGAAATCAAAACCCATTTTATATTGAACTTGCCCAGGCCGAAAATTACTACGGCGAACGTCTGCGCAACCAG